AATGAAGACTTAATTGTGGCTGTACGGCCTTTGGAGGACTGGATATAAAACTTGCTTTATAAAGTGAAAAGACTTACACCGGTCTTCATCTTTATTGCTATTTTCAAAGCTTTATCCTAAAATGAAATAAAGTGGCAATGCAAATACTTACACAAGGCTCAGGGAGCCAAAAGACTGTTTTTAATTGTCACAAGCAGGTTTAGACATATATAGAGCAACAGAAAAAAGGTATATCAACAAATGCTGTTAGTCAGGCTAGGGGAAATATCTGGAAAAAGGGGGGAGGGAGAAGATGATAAGACATGACAAGCCATAACTGGATTTGAAGAAGCAATGTTAGACTAAAGGAACTTAGTTGACATTCAGCAGATATTGCAATTCAGAAAATAATGTGCAGACAATAACTAGGGCAGATGAAATCTGTGCAGACTGTTCAAATAATGACATGTTTTTTTCTTTGGAATTTTACTGTAGATATAGCGCATTGTACAAAAACACCATATAACAAATTCAGTGTGACTGTTGATTTAAAGATTGAGCTTTAGCTGTTTAAAGCCTAACTCTGGGCAAGTTTTTTTTTACAGTCATATAAAGTGGGCAAGTGAGGGTATGTAAACTTCTGCATCATTGTTAAACACTGGGTAATGTAAGTAGTACCACAATGCGCAATAACCTACATAACATACATTACTGTGTTTCAGTGCCATTCATTTTGAATGACACCCTAGAACATTAGGGCAACTTATGTGTGTAACACATGGCAGCATGTTGTGGTATGTTGCATTAGGAGAAAAAGGTTATGTCTGATTTTTGGCACATTAGAGTGAGTTTACAATCAATGGGCTGCCTTAACACAATGCTTGGTAATATCTGACTTAAAGTGGAGCTCCACCCAAAAGGGGAAGTTCCGCTTTAAGCCTTTGTCCCCCACACCCACTCTCCATTAAGGATTGGCACCTTTGGGGAGCAGGTACCCAAATTTGACAGGTACCCACTCTCACTTCCACTGTGATCACCTAAGCGATTGGAAGCGGAAATTGTCCTTCCCCCCTCCATCCCCGTAGTCTTCTGGGACACATGACAGGTCCCAGAAGACTACAGGGCCATTCACAAAGCTCAGCTCTTCTCACGCATGTGCAGTGGGTACCTGGCCGTGAAGCCACAAGCTGTCACAGCCAGGTGCCCACACTGAAGATGCCGGCGCCAGGGAGAGAAGACAGCCAGTGAAACCAGCTGTGGTGAGGACACTGCTGGACCAAGGGACAGGTAAGTGGCTGTATTTTAAAAGTCAGCGGCTACAGTTATTGTAGCGGCTGACTTTTTATTATTTTTTTTTTCAGGTGGAACTCCTCTTTAACACCCGTTTACGTAACACACATAGGGGGTTATTTACTAAAACCAGAGAGTAGAAAATTGAGTGCAACTCTGAATAGAAACCAATCGGCTTGCAGGTTTTTTGTGAAAGCTTAATTAAATAAGCTGAGGTTAGAAGCTGATTGGCTACCATGCACAGCTGCACCAGATTCTGAGTTCACCAGCCTTAGTAAATCATCCCAATGGTTTAGTGCAGTTTATACACTTGGCACATGTAAGAGTTGGTTTGGAAATTGTTTTGTTCTTTTTAAATAAAAAAACAGTATGATGTTATGTGATAAGTCTGTTTTGTGAGCTATCATATACATTGTTGAATATACAAGATATTGGAGGAGGTGATATGATTGCCATTTTACTTGCTTGGGAACCTGTTTGACTTACTTATAATTTGGAGGGTGCAGCTGTAAATGAGTGCGTTTTCAATGTAGGTGCACGGAGTGAACAGAATTTGGATTTTTTATCATCACAGGCATTTTTGATCACTTGGATTTTTACAAATCTTAAATTTTACTTATTCTACACTATTCATTTTAAAGTATTACTAAAGTCTATATTTTTTTTGCACAGAGTGGTCCCAATTTTTCTCTTCTTGGGTCACCTGCTGGTGATCTTGGCTCCTCCTCTTCTTCGTGTGTCCCCATAGCAAGTGGTTTCCTATGGAGGCACACTGTGTCTGTTTGCTCTCGAGCTGTGTCTCTATGGAGCTTCGCTCCATAGACACACAGAGCGGGACTTAGCATCACCCCACACTTCCTTCCCCCTTGATTTTTTTCGAATCTATGTGTGATGAGGAAACAAAGGGAGAAGAGAAGCAGCCATGCACAGCACTAGATCTTCTCCCCTCTGTTCCCCTTTGTGACAATTGTGCGCATAGAGACATGGACACTGACAGCCATCTTGTTAGGTCTCAGCCATGTTCTCTCCTGTGCTCCCTCCTCCCTCCTCCCTTTTAAAAAGAATGTGAGTATATACAGTTGCAAGAAAAAGTATGTGAACCCCTTGGGATTACGTGGAGTTTTGCATGAATTGGGCATAAAATGTGCTCTGAACGTCATCTAAGTCACAACAATAGAAGAACACAGTCTGCTGAACATAATACTACACAAACATTAGATGTTGCCATGGTTTAATTGCACATAACATGTAAACATTCACAGTGCAGGGAGGAAAAAGTATGTGAACCTTTGGACTTAATAACTGGTTGACCCTCCTTTGGCAGCAATAACCTCAACCAAACATTTCCTGTAGTTGCAGATCAGACCTGCACAACGATCTGGAGTCATTTTGGACCACTCCTCTTCACAAAACTGTTTCAGTGTAGCAATATTCTTGGGATGTCTGGTGTGAATCGCTCTCTTAAGGTCATGCCACAGCATTTCAATGGGGTTGAGGTCAGGACTCTGACTGGGCCACTCCAGAAGGCGTATTCTGTGCTGTTGCAGCCATTGTTTTGTTGAATGACTTGTATGCTTTGGGTCATTGTCCTGTTGCATCACCCATCCTCTGCGGAGCTTCAGTTGGCGGACAGATGGTCGTACGTTTTCCTGCAAAATGTCTTGATAAACTCTGGAATTCATTTTCCCATCAATGACAACAATCCGTCCAGGCCCTGAGGCAGCAAAGCAGCCCCAAACCATGATGCTCCCTCCGCCATGTTTCACAGTGGGGATGAGGTTTTCATGTTGGTGTGCTGTGCCTTTTTTTCTCCACACATAGTGTTGTGTGTTCTTCCCAAACAACTCAATCTTGGTTTCATCTGTCCACAGTATATTTTGCCAGTAGTGCTGTGGAACATCCAGGTGCTCTTTTGCAAACTTCAAACGCGCTGCAATATTCTTTTTGGACAGCAATGGCTTCCTCCGTGGTGTCCTCCCATGTACTCCATTCTTGTTTAATGTTTTCCTTATTGTAGATGTGTCAACAAAAATGTTAGCATGTGCCAGAGATTTCTGTAGGTCTTTAGCTGACACTCTGGGATTCTTCTTTACCTCTTGCAGTCATTTTTACAGGACGACCACGCCTAGGGAGAGTAGCAACAGTGCTAAACTTTCTCCATTTGTATACAGTCTGTCTTACCGTGGACACATGAACATCAAGGCTTTTGGAGATACTTTTGTAACCCTTTCCAGCTTCATGCAAGTCAACAATTCTTGATCGTAGGTCTTCTGAGAGCTCTTTTCTGAGAGGCATGGTTCACATCAGACAGTGCTTCTTGAAACCAGTAAACCCAAAACAGGTGTGTGTTTTTTAAGGGAAGGACAGCTGTCAGCAACACATCCAATATCATCACACTGATTGGAGTCAAAGTTGGCTCACTCCTGGCTCCAATTAGCTCTGGGAGAAGGTCATTAAGCTAGGGCCTCACATACTTTTTCCTCCCAGCACTGTGAATGTTTACATGTTATGTGCAATTAAACCATGGCAACATCTAATGTTTGTGTAGTATTATGTTCAGCAGACTGTGTTCTTCTATTGTTGTGACTTAGATGACGTTCAGAGCACATTTTATGCCCAATTCATGCAAAACTCTACGTAATCCCAAAGGGTTCACATACTTTTTCTTGCAACTGTAAGTGAACGGAGTTCAAAAGTGCATATCGTAAGTTGGAGACATCCTGTAAGGACGTTATTCCACTGCACAGCTTGATGTCATCTGCAAAGACTGAAATGGTATTCATAATCTCAGACCCTATATCGTTTCTAAATATATTAAAAAGTGAGGGTCCCAACACTGAACCTTGGGGTACACCACTGACAACCCTAGACCATTCAGAGTATGAATCATTAACCACTACTCTCTAAAAACGATCTTTTAGCCAGTTTTATATGCATTTACATACAGATTTTTCCAGGACTGTAGACTTTACCTTACACATTAGCTGTGTGTGGGGAACTGTGTCAAACGCATTTGCAAAATCCAAGTATACCACGTCCACCGCCACCCCTCTGTCCAAGGTTTTGCTCACTTCCTCATAAAAAGAAATCAGATTTGTTTGACAACTTCTGTCTTTCATGAATCCATGCTTGTCTGTTGCTTAAAATATTTTTTTCCAGCAAGAACTCATCTATGTTGTCTTTTATTAAACTCTCCAGTATCTTCCCAACTATAGAAGTTAAACTAACAGGTCTTTAATTACTTGGTAAGTATTTTGACCCCTTTTTAAATATTGGCACCACATTGGCCTTATGCCAATCCAATGGTACTATGCCAGTCATTATTAGAAACAATGGCTTTGAAATGACAGAGCTCAATTCTTTAACCACCTGCCGACCGCAGATAGCCGAATGACGGCTACACTGTGGCCGGCCAGTTCTGGGAGGGCGTCATATGACATCCTCCCAGAATGTGCTCTCCTGCGCACCCGGCGATCTCCATGATCGCTGTGTCCTACGGACACAGCTGATCACGTGATGTGGTAAAAGGCCATCACAGCGGCCTTTTGCCACATGATCAGCTGTGTCCAATGACACGCTGATCTCCGGGAAATGCAATTGCCGTTTCTCGGCTGCACTTTCCTCACACTGTCAGAGCGTGAGGAACGTACTGCCGAGAACCGGCAGTTGTCAGAGCAGGGATCGGCACCAATTGTCAGGGCACTGATGATCAGTGCCCTGATGATCGGTGCCCAGCAGTGCCACCCACCAGTTCCGCCGACCTGTGCCCAGCAGTGCGCCCACCTGTACCACCCACCTGTGCCTAGCAGTGCGCCCACCTGTGCCCAGCAGTGCACCCTCCTGTGCCCAGCAGTGCACCCACCTGTGCCACCCAGCAGTGCCACACACCTGTGCTCAGAAGTGCCACCTACCTGTGCCCAGCAGTGCCACCCACATGTGCCCACCAGTGCCATCCACCTCTGCCCACCAGTGACACCCACCAGTGCCCATCAGTGCAGCCCAGCAGTTCTGCCAGTCAGTGCCACCAGTCAGTGCCCAGTGGTTGTGCCAGTCAGTGCCCAGCAGTTGTGCCAGTCAATGCCTAGCAGTGCCACCAGTCAGTGCCCAGCAGTGATGCCAGTCAGTGCCACCTATCAGTGTTGTCTATCAGTGCCACCTATCAGTGCCGCCTATCCGTGACACCTCATTAGTGCTGCCTATCAGTGCCACCTATCCGTGCCACTTCATTAGTGCTGCCTATCAGTGCCCATCAGTGCCGCCTTATAGTGCCCATCAGTGCTGCCTCATCATTGCACATCAGTGAAGGTGAAAAATTACCTGTTTGAAAAATTTTATAATAGAAACAAAGAAACTTTTTTTTTTCAAATGTTTTGCACTTTTTTGTTTATAGCACAAAAAGTAAAGTGCCCAGCGGCGATTAAATACCACCAAAAGAAAGCTCTATTTGTGAGAACAAATTGATAAAAATTTCATATGTGTACAATCTTGCATGATTGCGCAATTGTCATTCAAAGTTCCACAGCACTGAAAGCTGAAAATTGGCCTGGTAAAGAGGGGGGTATAAGTGTCCTGTAGGCAAGTGGTTAAGGACCCATGGATGTATCCATCCAGGTGTTTTATTCACCTTTATTCTGTCTAAATATTTCTGGATCATATCAGTTGTGAGCAAATGTGGATCATCTGGAGCTGTGTCAATACCATGTTCATTATGGACAAGAGCTCCCCCATGCTCCTTTGTATACACAGAGCTGAAGAAGGTATTTAATAGATTTGCCTTCTCTTTGGCCCCAGTTACCCACTCTAGATTATTTTGTAAAGGGCCTACATACTTGGACTGGACCTTTTTATATTTTTATATATTAATATATTTGAAGAATTTTTTTGGGGTTGGTCCTGCTATCTTTTGCAATCTGTTGTTCATTTAAAAATTTTGCAGCCTTTATTTCTTTTTTTGCATATTCTGTTATATTCTTTGTAATATTTAAATGATGATAGCGTTCCTTCATTTTTATATTTAATAAAAGCTCCTTTCTTATTATCCATAGCTTTCTTAACTTGGCGTAAGCCACATAGGTTTGATTTTTAGCCTTTTAAACTTGTTGCCCATGGGAATATATTTTGCAGTATGTTCACATACAGTCTTTTTGAAGAACTCCCATTACTGTGTTGTGTTCATTGATGTCAATATTCCCTCCCAGTCTAAGTTTCGGAGAACAGCTCTCAGCCTTAGAAAATTAGCTCTCTTAAAATTGAGCATTTTTAATTCTCCCGTTTTGTACTTGCTGTTTACAGCTAACAATAAATGAAATCATGTTATGGTCACTGCTACCCAGATTTTTTTATTGGACATTTGTAATAAGCTCTGCATGGTTTTAGATTATCAGGTGATCCATCCCACTGATACCAATGATAGGGCACTCATTCTTTCACTGACCACAGGTGCTATGTAATTTCTTTACTCTCACTGACCACCAAGGGAATTGTTTACTCCCATTAGCCACAGTTCAGTCCCTTTAAAGTCTGAAGGACAGTACATTGGCCCTTTGTTTAGAAAATTTGGAGATCCTTGGTTTAGTGCATGATTTGGGGGGAGTTTTATTTGCACATTTTGCACATTTTGATCTGCTCTTTTGGAATACATTTTTGGGCACATTGTCATTTGGGTAGCATTTGGGTTGGCTGTGAAAATCTTAAAAAAAAAACACGTCCGTATGGGGCTCCGTTCACCTGGCTGCATCACTCATTCACAGTCCTCTGTGAATGAGAAACTACAAGTCCCAACAGCCTTAGTGGCTTGTAGTTCCCAGTGGACTACCATGGCTCTGTGGAGCGCTATGGTAGTTCATTGACTCTTCCTGTCAGTATATCTGCTTGCCCGTACTTACTGCATGGCACCAGTGATCTGCTGATCGCTGGTGCAATGGTTTACAGGCTCCTGCAACAAAAATTAATGAATGCACATTTTTTACCTGCAAAAAATGTGCATTCATTATTTTTTAGCAAAAGGTGAACTTATACTTTAACCCCGCGGTATTCCCAAGTGTAGCTCAAGGTAAAGTTTCAGCAACACAAGTGGTAACCTCCAGCTACACTCGGGAATACCTTGCAGTGCTGCTCCGGGATTTCTTCTTCACTTACCTTGTCCTGCGCTCCCTCGATGTCCCCCCTGCAGTGTCCCCTGCAATGTCCTCCAGCGGATGCCGGCATCTGTCTTCTGGGTTCCGTTCCCTGTGACGTCGGGACGTACGGGGGACGGAACTGGAGGGAAATTTAAAAGTTGTAAAAGTGACATTGTAAAAGTGACATTCACTTAAAGTCACATAGTAAAACATTACTAATGCATCCTCCCCCACACTATCCTACCCCAAGACTGACAATGCTGCTGTCTGCTGTGTCCTGGCTCATTCCTCCAGAGTGGTATTTCACTAATACAGGAGGTGTGTTACTGGCCCAAAGAGAAGAGATTAGCTTGCTTAGACAACTGTCCACGGAACAGTTGTCCCCTTTGAAATGTTTCCCTTTACCTTTTGTTCTATATTTAAAATTTCCTCTCACTTCCTTTCAAGATGACAGGGGTCACCAATATAAATAGAGGGGTGAATCTCCCAAATGGGTACTCCATGAAAAACGAAAAAAAAAAGGTATATATGCTCTTTCGCTGCCAGTCCCTGCGCGGCACTTTTAAACTCAGGTGACCAGACCATTTTTGCAATTTTTACATTGTTTTTCTATTTTTCCCTTATAGCTTTCGGAGTTTGTGAAAGACCCTCCAAATCATACAATTTCTGGAAGCATAGGACCCGTAAAAGAAAGAGAAGGTGCTACTGGTTTTTTTAGGCCCCTTGATATTTGCACAAATGTTTAGCAAACCAATATTTTCGTTAAACATACATAAAGATTGTTTCCTCTCCAACATCACCAAATCTCGCTCAGAATTTTATGAGACTAATAGTCAGAGGCAACTGTGCTTTAGATCTTATACTGCTGATATACCACTATGAAGATGAAAGCAAATTCACTGCTATTTTTCAGGAGAAATTCAAGTAAAAAATATGGATATTTCTGAGGTTACTTTTTAGGCACAAATAACATGATAAATGTAACAGGAAAATATTTAGGTTTGAACTCACATTTGTAAAAGTTTATCTATTTGCTGTTTTTACGAGTACTAAAGTTTACAATGGATTATATTCTTTTTACAGTATGTGAGGAGTAGACCATTTATACAACATAACTTTGTATTTTTTGCATTAATATGTAGTTTTCAAATTCAATATTGAAACATGTATAAAAAAGAGAAAACAGGCATTGAGGAATTATTTGTATTTAAATTAGCAGCCCTTTTCTCTTCCAAGATCCCTTCCTTACTCTAGAGAAACATTTGCATTCAAGGTCCTTACCAACAGTGCCTAATCTCCTCCATTTATAAACTACTACAAGACACTTCTCCCCTAACTACAGACCTACATCTCTATATACGGAAATGGCCCCAAATCCTCCAACAAGATATTTCCCTAGATCACTGGAGTAAGATTTGGGAGGCCGCCTACAGGTCTTCTAAATGTGTGGTATATAAGGAAAATACCTATAAAGTTTTGATGTTTTGGTACAGGACCCCTGAGGTCTTCCACGCTCGTAAGCCAAATGTTTCTCCTTTCTGCTGGTGATGTGGCAAGGAAATTGATACTCTTTTTCACATTTTCTGGCTTTGCCGACACATTGAACCTCTCTAGAGAGAGGTCCTAAGCCTTTTACGGCATCTTTTGCAGGTTCACATCCCATTTGATCCTATTCACTTTTTATTAGGCCTACCTTTTACAGGCCTCTCCAAACTTGCCAAGAAACTATGTCTTAACCTCCCTGGAGGTATTCCTGAGTGTAGCTTGGGGTAAAGTTTCAGCACCACAAGCAGTAACCCCCGAGCTACACTCGGCAATACCTTGCAGGGTTGCTCTGGGATCCCTTCTGCACTTACCTTGTCCTGCGCTCCTGCGCTGTCCTCCCTGCAGCGTCCCCGGCAATGTCCTCGGCCGATGCTGGCATCTGTCTTTCAGGTTCTGTTCTCTGTGACATCAGGACGTATGACACTAAAATCACATAGTAAAACATTACTATATCAAACGATTTCACATACATTTTGTCCCGAGTGCTTTGTCCTCTGCCCTGCCTGCATTTTTACTGTTCTTTCTGCCTGGAAACTGAGAAATGTCCATGGCGTCCAAAAAGAGTCCCTTTAGGTCAAAAGCGGTTTTAGACCAGCTAGAGAACAGCGATAGTAAATTAGAATCACTTGAAGAATTGAGTGATAATGATTCGTGGGGGAATTTGTCATCAGACAATGAAAACAATTTTGCGACTTTGCTCAGTGATGTGTGAACTTGGCGCTATATTTCAAATTTCAGTGTTTTTGGGTTTGATTATATTATTTAATTAAATTTATTGTTATTATATTATTATTTTTTATGATTATTTATTAAATTATAATTTATGATTTCGTGTTTCAAATTTTAACATACCCGGGATGTTTACTAGACTCTTGTTTGGACAGATTTCAGTGAGTTATTCCTAAAAATGACAAGCCTACAATAAAAAAAATACATATTTCCATGCAAAAAAATGTACCGCTTTGAGCACAGAAATACTGACATAATCAGACCGCTAGGGAGATTAACAGCGGCCAGGAGAACCATACCCATGCATTGGTTATCCACTACACCTCCCTCAGGGTCAAAATTGATAAAACGTATTGGTGAGGTTAGAAGAATGGAATATTTAACTGCCATCCATGCCAACCTTGTTCCCCTTTTTGAAGCGGTTTGGGAACCATGGGACCTTTCTACTTACAATATGCCCATTCAGACGTCCTGATTTTTCTGGCTAGCCCACTGTTATCCTATGACATTATATGTGTGTGCATTTTTCATCGCTGAGTCTACTCCTTTCTTCCTTTGTTATGAGATTTATATTATTGATGTCTCAAATTGCGATGCGACTACTTGCCTGTTGTATATTGAAAAAAACTCAATAAAAAACTAAATCATATATATATATATATAAGAAAAAAAATTAGGAGCCCAATAAATGTTGTCAATCTAAAGATTGACACTAAGCAAGAAAATTATTTGCTGTCCAAACAAGG